CATATTTATCAGTTCTAAACTTTAAAGTTTGTTCGTTCACTGCAACCAGGTATATCAATCATGCTTCACTCGCTACTCTGGTTTAAATAAATGATTACAAAGCCCAGTCGAATTGTAATCAAGACCCAACGTTTCGACACTCCAGTCTAGTGTCTTCATCAGGGGTGATCTAAAGTTGCAATCGTGGCTTCTTAAATACCCAAGGGATGACGTCACCTACCAATGAGATGCATGTATTCCTCCGGCAAATTAGATCAGCCCTGATGAAGACACTAGACTGGAGTGTCGAAACGTTGGGTCTTGATTACAATTCGACTGGGCTTTGTAATAATTTATTTAAACCAGAGTAGCGAGCGAAACATGACAGTTCTAAACTGTTCTCCCATAGAGGTCCAGTATTTATAAGACCTTCCTTTCTTGTCCATGCAGGTGGATATGGACTCCTGAACTAAATACATTTTATTTATACTGGGGAGCGTTATGAGTTTTAAACTGTTCTCCTTGTAGAGGTGATATCTCACTCGTTCGCTGCGCTTACTCCGCGTGAGATATCATGTTCAACACTCGAAATGAATCTGGTATTGCCGCGCACCCATGCATGTACTATTCTCTATTTATACTGGACAGCTTTATCAATTGTAAACTGTTGTCCCTATATACCATTGTAAACTGTGGTCCATTCAATAAGGGCCATTTCTTATATCCTCTTTCTTCCTTTAAGATCAAAGAGTATGTTGCAAGATACGATAAAATATCCGATGGCTACATCTATTTCTACATGCATAAGTAAGAATGAGAAGCCTTATAGTCTTTATTTGGGCCTAAAAAAAATACCTGTGGTTCTGGTTTCCAACCGACCCTATTTTTTTCTGCCGGCCCTATAATTTTTTCAACGCGATTGACCGTGCGACCCTGTTTTCTCCGGGTGGTTGCGGGCTGCTCATACAGCGTGCCAAATGGTGTCTGTTGTCACATTAATTATTGAACCAAATTGCCTAAATTCGTCCATAGGAAATACGCATCTCTATTTTATTGATGTCTGAACTCTACTGCAAATCGCCCAGCAAAAAACCGCCAAAACCATGAAAAAAAATATTCAAAAAAAAAATTTATTTCCGACCTACCGATCCTAATTTTTTCACGGTATGAAACCGGAACCACAGGTATTTTTTTAGGCCTTGCCACTCTCTGAGACCAATTTAGCTGACGTTTGTTTATCACTCAACCACAACTCCATGTACTAAGTTGTGTAAGTTACTCCACAACTGATGTGACTTACAACAGACAATTCCCATTATAGATTC